CAACCAGGCCTTCCTCATGCACTTTTATTACTTGTTTTCAGTTGAATTCCAAGGACAATAGGCAATAAGCCCTGAACTAGCAAATCAGAAGCAAGGCTGCTTCGGTTCATATTGCACTTTCCCCACTTACCAACTGCATGATGCTGGGTAAAAACCAACCACTCCGAGTCCTCATCTGTCAAATGGGGTAATACTAAGTGCACTCACCCCTCATAGCGTTATTACAAGAATTGAATTACACACCTGTCAGAATGGTTATCATCAATAAATCAACAAACAAGCGTGGTGAGGATGTCAAAAGAAGAGAGCCCTTGTGCACTGTTGGCGGGATTGCAAATTGGTGCAGCCACTGGGGAAAACAGTATCGAGTTTCCTCAAAACATTAAAAATGAACTACCTTATGACCCAGCAATTCTGCTCTGGGTATATGCCCAAATAAATCCAAAACACTGATTCAAAAACACATATGCACCTCTACATTCACTGGAGCATTATTTACAATAGCCAAGATGTAGAAGCCACCTAAGTGCCCATCAATAGACTAGTGAATAAAGAAGAGGTACATATATACAATGGAATATTACTGGGCCACAAAAAGAATGAAAGCTTACCACTTGCAACAACATGGATGAACTTAGAAGGTATTACACTAAGTGAGTAAGTCAGAGAAATAGAAATACCATATGATTTTACTTATGTGGAATCTAGGACCAAAATAAATGACAAACAAAACAGAAACAGACACACAGATACAGAGAACAAACTGTGAGTTGCCAAGCAGTAGAGAGATTGGGAGGCTGAGTGAAAAAGGTGAAGGAATTAAGAAGTTGGTAGTTATAAAACAGTCATGGGATTGTGAAGTAAAGCATAAGGAATACAGTCAATAATATTGTAATAACTATGCATGATGCCAGGTGGGTACTTGAATTACTTTGTAAATTATATAATTATCTAACCACTATGCTGTATACCTGAAACTAATGTAGAATAATATTAAATATCAACTTTAAGTTCAAAATAAAATTAAAAAAGAAGTGAGTTAAAATATGTAAAGTACTTAAATCAGTGCCTGCTTTATAGTGATAATTTCCCAATAAATTTAGCTGTTGTCATTCATATACATGTGTGCATGAATGCCAAGTACAAAAGTATATAACTTTAATTGTGTTGTTAGAGTGATCATCCCTGATTGCTTTTGGATGTTTTCATTGAGTACACAGTGAGAGTTCATTATAATAGTTGCCTGTTTCATCATATTTTCATTACCACATAGAAAAGTTAACACTACACATTACATTTCCAATTATTTCATTTGATAATAAGAATAGCTTACAACAAACAACTGACCTTTAAAATAAAAATTATAAATAAACCTTTTTCTTTCCCAACATCATCCCCATTAACTCTCAATTTGTTATGCATCTTAATTTTATATTAGAAATACAAAGAATAAAAGAAATATCTGGCAAAATTATCTTTCCCTCTGCACTAAGACCCTGAAATCTTAACACATACACATAATCCTTTACTATTAAGTATAGAAACACCAGAATTCAACTGTTTTCCAATTGCACGATAAAAATGACAATGACATTTGCATCATGTGGACTATTTTATTCCATCTGTTTTTTCATCCCTTGTTGTTATTGTTTTGTTAAAATGCATTAACTATAGCAACAGAGGTTTTTTTAAAGAATGTGGTGAGCTTCAAAATCTAGATTATATTTTCCTAACACAAGCCATTCAAATCTATTCAACTGTGCCGGAAAACGTTTCATAAGATTATTTAAAAACATGTCTTAATAATGTGTTTTAGAGGCTCCAGGTTCTCACTGGAAATTTTTTCTTAATATGTGCCTTCTGTCCCCCACTACCCTGTTTTTTCCCAAATTCCCAGAGATAAGAGTATTATAACAGTCTGGTTGGTTAGGAAATAAAACTATTCACCCACACATTTGGCAAATATTTAATAGTGACCTAGTGTTCCTGACCAAACAGTCACAGTCTCTGACCTCGAGGAGGTAAGCTAAACAATTGATCGCACAAATAAATGTGCATAGTTACCAATTGCTCTCAAAGAGAGAGAAAAGGAGGGGACTAATTTAAATCAGAGGATCAGGAAAACTTCTCTGAATCTCACATTTAAACCAAAACCTAAAAAAAAAATGGGATTTAACACTGAAAAGAATGAAAGTATCCTGGGCTAGAATGTGTGATGGCCTTGAGGTAAGATGCAGCTTGGTTTGCTGTAGGAAACAGACCAGCTAAACAAGAATATAAAAAAGGATATGAATGGAGGAAATGAGTCTACAGCCATAGATGAGAACTTGTAGGTTATTACAGGATTTTGAGCAAAGAACAAAAACAGTAATATTGTTAGTCATTAATGGCAACCAGTTTTCAGTTATCATGTTAAATGCTTTAAATGAATTATCTCCTTCAGTCCTCATTTTAACCTTCATTTTACATTAAGAAAACTGAAATTCCAAATGGTTTGGTGATTTGCCCAACTCACTCGGCAGGTAAGTAGTATAGGATATAACTCCAGAGCCCATGCTCTCAACCACTATGACATACTGTCTCTCATGATCAGATTTATATAGTTATATACACAATAATTTATATAATAATAAATTTATACATATAAACATGGAATATGTTAACTATGAGATGCATGCAAGACATTTATGTTAGGATATAAAATGAGCATTTAGATACATAGGTCTAAATCTCAGAGGAGAAGTAAAGCGAGGACCAAGTTATTCTGTTAGCCTTTAGATAGATTAAAAGTCATAGGAGTGAATGAGGTTGCCGAAGACCAGGGTGTACATTGAGAAAAAAAATGGCCTGATTAATTCTAACATTTATAGATTGGATACAGATAGTCAAAATATATACTTTGGCTAAGAAATCAAATAAGGATTAACCTACTCAATCAGGTGATGTTTCTATTAAATAATTGTGAAAACATTCTCAATGAAGAATTTTGGGATTTTTACAAGTGAATATTTATGCCTATAGACCATCCTTTAATTTAAGAGAGATTACAATGCAATTTATTAATACCCTCCAGAAGTATGAAAACATCTTACATTTGCACAAGATATAAAAGCTATTCTAAATTAGACACACAGAGAATTTATAGCTTCAGTTTTACAACCTCAATCCTAAACTGAAAGTCAACACAAAAATTCACCAGCCCAGATCTCAAATAGCTGTTCTCCTTTCTCATGGACTAAATTCTTAATTATTTTGAGCTTAAAAAGAATAAACAAAAAGACAAAAGCTGGATTCTCTGCCACCGCTCTTCTAATAAAGACCAGATCTCCATTACCCAACAGGTATCACCAAATGATCAGACCATAAAACTAAATTCCCAATCACTGCCACTACCAATGTGGAATGACTTAGCCATGCGCAAATCAAAAAAATTTTTTAGTCATTAAAAAGGGAAAACAGACAGTAAACTTAGTTCTATAACCACTTTGGATTTACTCAAAGAGCCAATAAAAGATAAGCCTGACAACCCATGAGGCTTGTTCCTTAGCCATAGTTGGCTCCATCACGTGAGTCTATTTGGGTATCTCCAAGGAACGTTGAGATTTCCAATGATAAAGTATAATTTAAAAAATATAAAATCATATCTCTTATGAAAATATAAAATGAACATATGCCAAAATTTTATTCAGCGCATCAATTAATGAGGGACCAGGTAATATGTTAAGACCAATTCAAAGAGTCTCTGAAAAGCTAGGCCTATATTAGTAAAGAAATGTTAGCCTGAGATTGCAGGGTTTGATACAAAACTAATTAATGCTTTACAGCATGATAAATTACCACCTGTGGGGTTATGTGGTCCCCCAAGTAGAACTTATTCACTTCTGCCACACAAAAATCTACAGGTTAACCTCTGCGCCTACAGAATTGTAAGATAGTCCAGTCAATAGAAAGCCAAGCCCAGAAAAGCACTGAAAAACAGCCAGTAATCTCTTGCCTATTTCCAAGTTTTGGATAATTTTTCCCATAAGAGTGAGATAGTGCAAATATTGTGTAGGATGTATATATACTAAAAAGTTGTTCATTTAGCTGAAATTCATATTTAACTAGGCATCCTGTATTTATCTTTTAACCCTAATAACAAGCTAACAAATTACTAAGTCTGTCCAGTTCTGTTTCCAACAATACACCTCTTAAATTTGGGATAGCTTCTTATTAGATAATAAATACTAGCCAAAAAGCTTGTTTTTGTTCTTTTTTCTGTAAATGGCTCTATAGAGCTTAGTTGTTATTAACTTCATTCGAAACAAGTATGTTAGGTTATATTGTGACAGCTGTCATATCAGCATGCATTAAAAAGACATCAAAATTGGTGAATTTTTGTGTAGCCATTTTAATATTGAAGATGGAAGAAAATATGAAACATTTTCAGCATATTATGCTTTATTATTTCAAGAAAGGTAAAAACAACTGAAATACAAAAAAAAAAAAAGATTTGTGTAGTGTGTGGAGAAGGTGCTGTGACTCATCGAACCTGTCTGTGAAGTTTCCTCCTGGAGATTTCTCGCTGGATGATGCTGGATGGTTAGGTAGACTAAAGTTGACAGCAATCAAGTTGAGACATTGAGAACAATCAACGTTATACCACATTACAGATGGACAACATAATCAAAATGTCCAAATCAACGAAGTTATTGGTGAAAATGAAAAATGTGTTTTTATTTTACGAAAAAACTAAACAGAATTTTGGCCAACCCAATATTAAGTCCTATTTCTACTGCACTCTTATTCTTCATGTATACCACTGTGGAGCACACACAACTCACAGTCTACTGGCCCAAAGAAGTGTATAAGTCACTACTCCGCAGTTGCTACTGCGCTACCAGGAGCTGACTTTTCAGGGACCTATCAGATTTCACAAAGCGCTGGGCTCCAGCAAGCCTTAAGCAATTGTGCGCAGGCGCAGAACTGCTCCCAGGCCAGACCAGAACTGCGCAGGCCTGCCGATCGCTCGGCAGCTGCAGTTCCGGCTGTGGGGGAAGGGAGCCTAGGTCGGTGTAGCCACAGGGAGCGTGTGGTGCTGAGTCTGCGGGCTGGGGGCTGCTGGTGCGCGGGCAGCGCTGCGCAGTGGTATTCTGTGCTCATGGACGTGCCCCTCCGGGAGGCACGCCCAGAAGACAGTGCTGGGCAGGCCCCGACCGACGGCTCGACCCCTCACAGAGAGGATCTCAGCAACAAGGTGAGTGCGGGAGGAAACGAGAAGGCCCACAGGCTCGGGACCGGGCGCCGCCGGGTCCCTGAGATGGTGCACTGCGGCGGCAAGGCCCGGTCTCGGCTTGGCCCAGCCGCCTTGCTACTTTTATTCTCAGCCCTGGATAGCTACAGTAAAGGGAGACCCCGAAATGTGCCCTAAAATTAGACCCAACTGGTAGTGGGCGGGGATTTGGTCGTCAGTGAAACTTGCGTAAGTTCCGCCCACCTGAGATCCGCTGCCGTTATTCCGAGAAAATGTGACCACCATCCGTCCAGTTGTCCGTCCCTGACGTCCACCGCGAAGTCCTGTCCATTCTGCTTCTGAAGCTCGTTTCACGAATGCGCCTTTGTCACCGTGCGCGCTCTTACCATCCCAACCAGCTGCCGCCGTCCGCCTGCTGTCGGGAGCCCTGCCGCGGCCTCCCGACTGACCGCCCCTCCGTCGTTACCTCCCTCCAGTCTGTTCTCCACGTTAGCCTAGGCAGTGATCCTAAACCTTCTGATTGTCCTTCTTCCACCCAGAAGAGGAGAGAGGGAAGCCAATGGAATATAAATCGTAGCTGCCATTGACAGGCAAAACCTGTGAAAGTATATTGGGGTTGGGGATGGTTCTATCCCTCCAGGTATTAAATGTCCTAGATTCTTTGGTTGTGTCCGAAACGAATAGTTCTGTCTGGGGCAGGTCTCGAACCCCTCTGTATCGGTTTACTTGTTTGAAGTAAAGTGGAATATGTGTATACCTGCCATTCCTAAAATGCATGGGAAAGCATTGATCAAACACAGGTTTCGAGGTTGTGCAAATTCGGCCTCGGGATTCAGCCTCACTACAGTCAGTTGCCACACTGACTGTTAACTGGGAAGACAAAGGGGTACACACTCGTGGGCGGGTTGCATTTTCAAACCGCATGCAGCCCACTCCGATTACCGTTGCACCAGAGCAAGCCACTTCTACTGATGTATGGCAGATACCTCAGGGATATGGGGTGGACAGAGATTATAAATTTGGTTTTAGAGGCACTGGTGATACGGTGTAATTTGTCATGTTCACAGAAATAACTACCATTATTGAAAAGAGGGGGAAAAAAAACGTGTTTTCCACTTAGTTGAGCCCTCTCCTACAATAAAAAGTGAAGCCTCCTGCAGCCATGCCAGCACTGTACTAGCCTTTGACATAGAGAAAGGAAGCAAAGATGGAAGTTGATAGGTCTTTCTGACCCAGGTGGGGCATTTAGTACTATTTGCATGTTCGGAGTGCCTCCCTGCACCATTTTGTACATAAATCGTGAAAAAGCATTGATATTTGGGGCAGGGGGAAGTAGCCTACCCCTCTCTCTGTTTGCTATTCTTTATTTTAAAAAGCTAAGACAAAACAAAATCACTGGAAAACTGGTACATACTGTCTCTTTTAAGTAAAGGATATAAGCCTTGTTTAGTAACTCTGATTCTTGCATGAATGCTGATTACCAATACCAGACCCTGGTCGGGCTGTCTGACACTTAGTGAGTCCACTCACTGTTTCCTCCTCCCACTTTTCCACACCTGCACCCTCACACACACTGCTGCTGACGAGAATCTTATGCACAGACTCATTTGGACAATGAGTACATGAGTACATTGCTCATTTTCCCATCTCTACTTTTAATGGGCCCCCATTTAACATACTTTGAGAACTTCTGATTTAAGAAGTTTTTCTTCATTTCAATAGATTAAAGAACAAAAAATTGTTGTGGATGAACTTTCTAACCTGAAGAAGAACAGGGTGAGTTACCAGAGTGATTATGAATCGTATGTGGGAGGGTTTGATTATATCTTATTAACTATATGCTAAAGTTACAAGAATTTTATATAAGATATAATATTTCAATATCTTTTTAAATTGCAAAAGCAAAGTCTCTAAGCTTTTATATATAGAGATAATATATAGATAATATATAGATATATATTTAAATATAGGTATATTTACCTCAATTTTTGTAGTTCAAAAGAAAATATAGATATATAGATACCTATATATTAATCATAGTTGATAATATTTTTCCTCATCATGTAAAATTCACATTACCTTTGAAGCAAATGATACTGATTGTACCATGATACCTTAGAACTGTAACAACTAATAGTATTTATTTTGTACTTAAATTTGATATTTTCTTTTAAAATAAATGAACTTTAAATATATTAAGAAAGAGAAAACAGTTTCTTTAAGTGAAAGTGGATAATTGTTAAAAAACAAGAAGGATTGTCCTGGCTGGTGTGGCTTAGTGGATTGAGTACCAGCCTGAGAACCAACGGGTCCTGGTTCAGTTCCCAGTCAGGGCACATGCCTAAGTTGCAGGCCAGGTCCCTGGTAGGGTGCATGTGAGAGGCAGCCACATACTGATGTTTCTGCCCTTCTCCTTCTCCTTCCCTTCCTCTCTCTCTATAAATAAATAAATAAAATCTTTTAAAAAAGGATAAATTCCTTCCCCTCCCACTCCCATATTTTCTTACATAAATGTTCCAAGTATGTAACATGGTTATTGCCATTTTCATTAATATATTCATAAACAAGCAAACTACTGTTTCATGTGTACTTATCCTGTCAAAAAGTTATATTTTAAAGTTAAGGAAGAAATAACTTTGAACTCTTTAAAGTATTTTACAGATTATTGATAACTGACAGGTTAGACATTTCTGGTATTGTCACTTGTATAATATTAGAGGTTAAAGCACAATTGATACAGACTTTAAAGAAGGCAAATTGGCAGAATGCATCAAGACCTTAAAGGAATGTAACACTTCCACCCCTGCAGTTGTATTTACAGGAATTGATACTGAGGAAAGAAGTCATGGGAGTGCACAGAGATTGTATAGGTTTACAATAGTTAAAAGTTGGTAACACCTTAAATATCTAAAACTTGAGAACTGACCAAACTGTAGTATGTTATACCCGTACAGTAATGTTGTAAAAGAACACATTAATAAGAAAAAAGCTCTCAATATATTGTTCATTGATAAAAGCAAGTTATAAATCTGTACTTACAGGAGACTTTTTATTTGTTAAAGTAGTATTACGGTATTTGCAGAGAAAAAAAGAGTTTCATATCAGTGTTAATGGTAACAGTAGCAGGATAATGGGTAACTTTTGTTTATCTTTATGCTAAGATACTGTTCTGAACTTGTGACTGTAGTTGAAGAATAGGTAATAATAGGGTTCAGAGTTTTGACATCTGCTGCTTTTTAGATCAAATCATAATATTAGCCTAAATTATGTTTTGCAGAAAGTATATAAGCAGCAACAGAACAGCAACATTTTCTTTCTGGCTGACCGAACAGAAATGCTTTCTGAAAGCAAAAGTAAGTTTTTTTTGGTACATTATATAGAAATACACAGAAAGTTTTTTGTAGTCTCTCTGTAGAAATTCATGTTAGTACTTAAATTATACTATCTGTATCAGACTGTTTTAATATATATCTAAAGATTGGGTGGTGGTACACTTGTTAATAAATCTAATCCAGTAGTTTGGTTTTCTTCAAGTTAACCTTCCAAACATGAGTTTATGGTAAAGGTGAAAATCAAATAAAAATACATAAGATGTGTTAGAAAGCACTAATTATTAAAGTGTGTTTTAGAGTTTGAGATAGATCTAGTATGAAAAACTATTCTATCACTTTCTGAAACCTTTGTGACTTTTCATGAACTACTTTGAGCCTCCAAAGTCTGTGGGGTTTAAATAAGATGGTATATGTAAAAGTGCACAGCCCAGTGCCTGGGCCAAAATAAGCATTTAATATACTGACACTATCTATTTTCCTAAAAGATAAATATTCATATGAGAAGCCTGTTGTAAATTATTATTTGCATGAATACACTGCATTATACTCAAATGGTTTGATCTTGGTAAATATGTTGTCCTGTGAATTACTAGGTAAAAGTGCAAGAATTTTTATTTTATTTAATAATCTTTTCTTATTTCCCCACAGATATATTGGATGAGCTAAGAAAAGAATACCAAGAAATAGAAAACTCAGAGAAGACCAAAATCAAGAAATAGTCAACCTGACTTCACATAACAATGTGTGGCATTTGTTGTTCTGTAAGCTTTTCTATTGAACATTTTTGCAAAGATTTGAAAGAGGATTTATTGTGTAATCTTAAACGACGGGGACCCAATAGTAGTAAACAGTTGTTAAAGTCTGATGTTAACTACCAGTGTTTATTCTCTGGTCATGTCCTTCACTTAAGAGGTGTTTTGACTGCCCAGCCTATGGAAGATGAAAGAGGTAATGTGTTCCTGTGGAATGGAGAAGTCTTTAGTGGGATAAAGGTTGAAGCTGAAGAGAATGATACTCAAGTAATGTTTAATTATCTTTCCTCTTGTAAGAATGAATCTGATATTTTGTCACTCTTCTCAGAAGTTCAAGGTCCTTGGTCTTTTATATATTATCAAGCATCTAGTCATCATTTATGGTTTGGTAGGGATTTTTTTGGTCGCCGTAGCTTGCTGTGGCATTTTAGTAATTTGGGCAAGACTTTCTGCCTCTCATCAGTTGGCACCCAAACATCTGAAGTGGCCAATCAATGGCAAGAAGTTCCAGCATCCGGAATTTTCAGAATCGATCTCAAATCTACTTCCATTTCCAAATCTGTGGTTTTAAAATTGTATCCTTGGAAGTACATCTCTAAGGAGAATGTTATCAAAGAATGTGTTGATAGCGTGACTCAAATTTCTGCAAACTTGCCGAAGTTTGTATCAGTGGTAGCAAATGAAGCCAAACTGTATCTGAAAGAACCTGTTGTTCCTTTAAATATGATGTTGCCACAAGCTTCATTTGATAGTCATTGCATTAATATTTCCAACATCTCACCTACAAGAGAGATACTTCAGGTCTTTCTTACTGATGGACACATGAAAGAAGTAGTTCAGCAGTTCATTGATGTCCTGAGTATTGCAGTCAAGAGACGAGTTTTGTGTTTACATAGGGATGACTGCCTGACACCAAGTGAAGTTTTGAAAACTTGTGATAGGAAAGCAAACGTTGGAATCCTGTTTTCTGGGGGTATTGATTCCATGGTTATTGCAACCCTTGCTGACCGTCACATTCCTTTAGATGAACCAATTGATCTTCTTAATGTGGCTTTCATGACTAAAGAAAAAACTGTACCAACTACTTTTAACAAGAAAAGGAGAGAACAGAAAAATTGTGAAACTCCTGAAGAACCCTCTAAAAATGCTGCTGCTGCTGTTGCTGTTGCTGCTGCTGCTGCTGGTCCTGATAAACAATTCACTGTACCAGATCGAATCACGGGAAGAGCAGGTCTAAAGGAACTACAAACGGCTAACCCTTCCCGGATTTGGAATTTTGTTGAAATTAATGTTTCTGTGGAAGAACTGCAAAAATTAAGAACAGCTCGAATTTGCCACTTAGTTCAGCCCCTGGATACAGTGTTGGATGATAGTATTGGCTGTGCAGTCTGGTTTGCTTCTAGGGGAATTGGTTGCTTAGTGACCCAGGGTGAAGTGAAGTCCTATCAAAGCAGTGCAAAGGTATGACAATATTTCCAATCAGAAGAATTCCTGAGACCTAATCTTGGTCCTTAAAGCTTTTAGCATTTAAGTTGTGAAAATATAGCATATTTTAATTGCATTTAAACTACAATACTATGTATATGACTTTAAAAATTGGGCACATTTTACTATTTTATGACTTTGCCTTGTGGATTTTCTCTGAAAATGTTATCTTTAAGGTGATAATTTTTAAAGCTTTACTTTTATCTTATTTTCTTTACTGTATGGTAGATAACATGTTTATATGTATTTCTTCAAACTTCTGTAGGTAGTTCTTACTGGAATTGGTGCAGATGAGCAACTTGCAGGTTATTCTCGTCATCGTGTCCGCTTTCAGACCCATGGGCTGGAAGGATTGAATAAGGAAATCAAGATGGAACTGGGTCGAATTTCTTCTAGAAATCTGGGTCGTGATGACAGAGTTATTGGTGATCATGGAAAAGAAGCAAGGTAACACCAATTCTCTGAGTGTTGTGTTAATTTATAAAAATAATAGACTCTAAAAGGAAATTTTAGGTTCCTTTTTTCTTTAGAGACTGTTAAGTGAATAACCATAGCAACAGTAATATCATGGCTTTATATAGCAAACAAAGATGGCAGCAAAGGAAGATGTGTCATTCAGTTTTAGAAAGAAGACATGTGTTCAAGTAGGTCAGTTTATTCAGTGGTAGTTTATTATAAGCATACAAGGGCAAGGAGTCCAAATAAGCTTTGTGGGATTTAGAACATCCTAATACGCCAACTCTGAGACTTCATTGTTTCTTGTTTGTGTTCTTTTCTTCCTTCCACTGAGCTATGGTTGCCTTTGCACCATTGTCATTCTTATGTTGCCCATTGTGACATGTAAAATTTTGACCATTGTGTCATGATTCTAATTTTCAAAATTACATTATAAAGAGATAATGCCACAATATAACGTCTATAAAATGTTACTCCTTTTGAAGGGGGGGTGTGTATGTGTGAGAGAGAGAGGGGAGAGAGAGAGAGAGAGACACGTAGGGGGAGAAATTCAGTCTGTTATTTCAGCTAGGTCAAGGAAAAGGAATTTATTTTATTTAGTGAATGCAGTTAATTCTGAAGGTTCCATATGATACTATCAGGTAAAAATGCATATGAAAAATGTTTAAAACATTGTGATTTAACAAATATCATAGTGGCTAGATCTAAAAAATTTATTATGTACTTTTGCATGCACATTAACAGTAATCTATTGATTAGATTCTTAATCTAAATACTCTTTTACAGTTAATTCATTTTTATAAAATATTCCATATAACAATTGCCTTTACCCTTCTCAGTCTCTCTACTTGAGCTAGAATCAAATACAATGAAACACAAACACTGCTGTAACTGTATTGAGGAACTGGGAGGAAAGAGAATGTTAAAGTACAGTATTTTAATCAGAAAAAAACACAATTTTGTAGGAAAACAGGAAAGCCAAAAGTGGAGAGAGTTACTTTTTAACATCTAATATTTTGTTGTTATATCAATTAAAATGGCTTAAATATAATTAAACTGTTTTAATACTTAAAGTTTAAGTTCAGGATTGTAGAGCCCTTCTGTATTGGTTTTGTATCCTTAAGTTCAGTTTCTTAAGATATGATAAAAGACCAGATAGAAATTGAATAATTGACTTAAGACCATGCTTATTTAAGACATCCTCGGACATCCTCAAACATATCTTGTGAAACCATTTGAAATTACTTCTTGATACCATAGGTCTAATTTAATTATTTATTGACGCAAATTTTTGTAACAGACATATTAAAATTATGTATTATGAAATATTTCTATGTGATTAAAGATTAGCTACAAAACTGTGTAAATAACCAGAATATTTTTACTTTTTATTTTTTTAAAGATTGTATTTATTTTGAGAGAGGTGGGGAGGGAAAGAGAGAGGGAGAGAGACATCAATGTGTGGTTGTACCCTCCAACCAGGGACCTGGCCCACAAACCAGGTATGTGCCCTGATTGGGAATCAAACTGGCAACCCTTTGGTTTGCAGGCCTGTGCTCAGTCCACTAAGCTATACCAGCCAGGGCTGAAGAATATTTTTAATTGAGGAAAATAGTACCTTGAGAAATTAATTTTATACTGTAAATTATAACATTGAATAAAATGCAGAAGTACATAAAAGAATTATAACATTGATTTTATATTTATAGTGTTTCTATTTATTTATTTTAGATTTCCTTTTCTGGATGAAAATGTTGTCTCCTTTCTAAATTCCCTACCAGTTTGGGAAAAGGCAAATTTAACTTTACCCCGTGGAATTGGTGAAAAACTAATTTTGCGTCTTGCAGCAGTGGAACTTGGCCTTACAGCCTCTGCTCTTCTGCCAAAACGGGCCATGCAGTTTGGATCCAGGATTGCAAAAATGGAAAAGAATAATGAAAAGGCATCCGACAAATGTGGAAGACTCCAAGTCATTTCTTTAGAAAACCTTTCTGTTGAAAATGATATTAAAACATAATATTTCACAATGTAATAACATTTGCTAAATAATAATTATATAACAATAAAACACTGTTGTTCTATTGTATAATGTAGTAATTTTAAAATTTATTATGTGAATTTTTACTTAACTGTACAACTTAATATAACCAATTTAGTCATATTGACAGCCTACAGAAAGAATGATTACACTTGAATGAACAACTTTGGTATTTTAAACTGTGCTATTAACATTGTTTTCAACTCTGACATGATTCATGTTCCACCAGCAACAGAAGGCAGTTTTTACTGACTCTTTTCATCATGGTAGCTACATCCAAAAAGCACTCAGTTTGTTGTCAGGGTCATGGCTTACATGGGACCCTATTTGACAAGTGAGAGAACTAAGGTTTAGAGAAGCTAAACTATTTGCTTGAGGTTCATGCTCCTGAGCAATACTTGGGCTTCTGTTACAGTTCCTTAGGCAACTCATTTCCCACTCTGAGAACATTTGGAGACTATTTTAAACATTCTCTTGTCTCATAAATCTCTACCTCCCTCTCTTTGCCTCATTCTCAGCTCATGACCTGGGCTTTTCACAGAGAGATCAAGTCATCAAGCCAAGAATGGCCTCCACTTTTCAACAGCAAAACTTCTGATGCACCTGTAGGTACACCTATCCTTTTCTCCCTTCGTACCATTGGGAAAAGAAATGTGACAGTCCACCCATCAAAAGGCTATGCCTCCACATGTTCTCTATCTCAGTCCTTCCTGCTTTTCAGGAATCTTATACTCTCTCCAGCATCTTGAGTCTCTTTGCTGTAGGATATTTCCTATCATTATTTAAATATTGCAGTCTATACCAATTTAAAATGCACATCTCGAGTCCTTCATCTTCCTCTATTTTATCATCTGCTTCTCATCCACACTCGCCCTCTCCACCTTTTCACCTGATTCACTCCACTCCAACCTGACATCCACCCACATTATTCAGCTATGATCACCATGCTAAGACCACTGCTAGGGATCTATCCCCAATTAGGGCTGCCATGCTTTCTGAATATGGACATGCTTTGATTCTTTGAGTCATG